CCACTGGCCACTGGCTCATGGGTAGGAAGGAAAGATTGGAGGTGGCGTTGCTATGCACAGATGAGTTCCTGCTGAGCAGAAGTTATGTGGTACAGAGGTGAGGCAGGAGGGTGGAAGAAATTTCTCTGTGGGTGAAATAGAGCCACACGGTGGATGACAGTCATCAGCACGGTTGGGTGGGATGGCATCTTGTTGACTGCCCCACATTCACAGTGACGGAGGCAGTTCAGGTTCAGCAAAGCAGCATTGCCATGTCATTGGCTAGCCCTGTCACATTGAGGACAGCATTATGGTCTAATAGTTAGGGCTGTGTGATTGGGAGTCAGGACCTGTGTGCACATGTGGAGGACAGAGGTTGATGTTGAACATCTTTCTCAGTTGCTCTTCACCCTATTTTGTAATTAATTAATGTATTAACTATTATATGTGTGCATGATATATATATATGTGTGTGTGTGTGTGTGTGTGTGTGTGTGTGTGTGTGTGAGTGTGTGTGTGCTATGGTGCATGTGGGGGGCGGTTTCTTTGTGTAGCTCTGGCTATCCTGGAACTTGTTCTGTACAGGATATCCTGGAACTCAGAGACTGAAATTCCTCTGCCTCCTAAGTGCTGGGATGAAAAGGGCACACCACCATGCCTGACACCTATCTTATTTTTTGAGTTAGGTCTCCCTCTGACAGCTCACTATTGAAAGCCTCAGAGATCTGCTTGTCTCTCCATCCCCCAGGCCCGAGTGCTGAAGTTACAGATGTACGCCACACCCTCCTGTTTATATGGGTGCTGGGAACCCAAACTTAGGTCTTTATGTATGTATAGCAACACTTGACCCACTGAGCCCTCTCTCCAGTTCCCTAGAGCCAGGGCTCTGGCTTTGGATGTGACATCCTCTTTGTTTGGACCTCAGGCTATGGGAAAGTCACTCACTCTCTTGGCCCTCAGTGTGTCTGACCTAGTTTTACTTTGGCTTCTGTTGCTATGGTAAAATACTATGGCCAAGAGCAAATCAGGAAGAAGAAGCTTTGTTTCCCTGACACATCCCAGTCCCAGTCCCTCCATCTTGTCCGTCCTGAGAGAAGTCAGGACAGGATCTCAAGCAGGGCAGGAGCCTGGAGGCAGGAAGCAGGAGGTCGTGGAGGAGTGCCACTTGCCCCTTCTCCTCCCAGCAGACTGCTCTCTTATACAGCTCAGCACCACTAACAGCGGGCTGGGCTCCTCATATCAAGAAAATGTCCCACAGGTTTGCAGGTAGGCAACAGGACAGGGCCATTTTCTCAGTCTCAGGCCATCTTCCTGGATGGCCTGAGACTGAGTGAAGCTGACAAAAAACTCAGCCAATACAGTGTCCATCTCCCAAACAGCATTGGACCAGCCCAAAGGGCTGTTGCTTGCTTCTGAACTTTCCTGCCCTCTGCTTGTTTTCTCAAGTCTACCCTTCCCCTCCTTAGTAGTCAGCCGCTCCTGAAACTACTGACCACCGGGAAAATGCAAGTCGTTAGGTGAGACTTTTCTGAAGTATCCGTAGGAGAGCCTTGTACCTTGGGGAGTAAAGCCCATTTGCCAATCTCTTCTTGCATTTTCAGGCATTATGGCTTGAGCCCAGTTGCCATCTTGGACCAAAAGGTTAAAAATGAGCCACTTAAGTCAGGCTGAAGCAACCTGAGGTTAGGAAGGAACTGAGACGTTGATGATTCCTGGAGACTGGATGACCTTTGCTCAGACTTTAAAAAAAAAAAAAGAACAGCTAGGGACCAGATTGCTCAGTGGTTAGAAGCACTTGCTGCTGTTGCAGAGGACCTGGGTTCAGTTCCCAGAACCCACACAGTGGGGTGGCTCACAACCATCCATAACTCCAGTTCTGACCTCCAAGGCACCAGGCATGCATGTGGTACACATACATACATGCAGGCAAGAACTCAGACACATAAGATAAACCTGAAAACAGCAACAGTGCCCAGTGATGGACTAGATAGATGATTCAGTGCCAAGAGCACTGAATTCTCCAGAAGCTAAACCGTCTGTAACTGCAGTTCCAGGGGATCTGATGCCCCCTTCTGGCCTCTGTGGACACCAGGCACATATGTGGTGCACATACACACATGTAGGTAAGATACCCATATACATAAAATAAAAACTATTGTTTTAGAACAACTTTGCATTTAAGAGTTATTCCAGCTGGGCATTGATGGTGCACGCCTTTAATCCCAGCACTTGGGAGGCAGAGGCAGGTGAATTTATGTGAGTTTGAGGCCAGTCTGGTCTACAGAGCTAGTTCTAGGACAACAAGGACTATGTAGAAAGACCTGATCTCAAAAAAAAAAAATCAGACAACAAGATCAAGTTATTTCAAAGCTAGTGCAGAGTTTCTGCGGTTCCAGAGCACTCCCCCACTATTAGCATATGCAGGGGTGAAGCTATTCTAACGAGAGACACTTGTGCTACACGCTGGGAAAAGGATAAGGCTGCGGGGTGGTGAGCCAAGGAGGAATTGTCTCCAGGAGAGAGATTGCAGGGCTCAGTTATGTATTTGAACATAACCCTCATGTCAGGACCCCAAGAAGGGCTTTCAGGGAGGGAACTTGAGTGGTCACTGATGCCTTTGTTCCTCTCCCAGTGTGAGCTGAGTACATCTCCTTTCTCTGCTTTTCACTATGACCTGTCTCTTTAACTGGCCTATCGAGGATGGGGGTCCACAGCTGGGTTGTTAGAAAAACAGCATTCATCAGTAACATTACATTGCATGTGTCACAACTAGCCAATATTGTCACATCGTTAGCTGATAGGTTTACACCACAGCATATTTTCTCAGCTTTTCTCCCTGAGGCTCTGGGCCGGCCGAGGTTCGTCTCGGACTGCTTTCTCTCCAGCTCGTGTCTCCTTGGCTCCTCTGGGATGTGGCAGGCACTTTATGAGTTTTCAGATTCCTGCCTTGTGTTTGGGCCCTGTGGGTCCTCCCTTCTTGCTGCCTTTGGGTGTGTTCTTAGAAGGACTTACTGTCCTCTGGCAGGTTGTCTGTCACAATGCCACTCTGTTTTCGTCCTCTTCTGTCCCACGTGCCATTACTGCTTTGGGAGTGGGCGGTTCAGCCCGGCTGGGCTGGGTAGCCCATATGCATATGTAGAGTGCTCTTCTTGGGCGTTTATCTCTTCTTCATATCTCACAACTGGCTATGTAGACATGACTCATACGTATTTATCCGGGAAGCTGGAGTCCACTGCTGCCCTCCAGGCTTGTGCAAACGATGCTATCTGGTCTTTAGGGGCTTTGACTGGTTCTGCAGACTCCTTGACGTGGGAGAGGAACACCCTGAGGTGGGCATCTCCCAGGAGCAGTGTGAGAGTCCTTCCATCTTCTCGCCTACCTGGTAGAACATCACTCTGCAGAGTCTCCTCAAAATCCAGCCTTCTTTATCTGTTCCCTCTGACCTTTGCATTATCTTTCCCTGACTAACAGGGAAGACCAAAGCTGGACACAGGCAAGTACTATTAAACTCAGGCTGTGGGAGGGTAAGGTTGCACAGTGCTCTTTGAGCTGGTCTACTGACCACAGCTGTCTGCAGATGAATGGCCAGTCAGAACCACTGGCCCCTCAGAATCTGTCTGCACAGGCTACAGAACCAGGCAAATCTAAGGTAAGACCTTAGGCCTCATATACACTCCAGCACCTTGCTTTTTTTTTTTTTAACACCATAAGCCATTTAAGTCCTGGTGAGGCAGTTTTCTGGTTTTTTTGTTTTTTGTTTTGTTTTTCGAGATAGGGTCTCTTTGTATAGCTCTGGCTGTCCTGGAACTCACTCTGTAGACTAGGCTGGCTTTGAACTCATGGAGATCTGACTATCTCTGTCTCACAAGTGCTGGGATCAAAGGCATGTTCCCCACTGCTAAATGAGGGCTATTTGAGTATCCTTTTTGTTTTTGAGACAGGGTCTCATTATGAGACTATGATAACCTCAACCTTGGATGTTCCTGCCCCAGCCTCGTGAGTGCTGGGATTTAAGGTGTGTGCCATCACCTTTGCTTTAATTACATGAAATCCAGCCTAATGGTAAGTGGAGGGAGGGGATTACATTTCTCCAGGGAGGGCGAGTTATGAGAGTCGAATTCCTGAAGCCAGGAAAGAATGAGTGCAGAGGTGAGGTAAGTGTGATAATTATTATTGCTATCTTAGTAATTACGCACACATTGCTAGAAGCTGAGAACCAGCTATGTTGGGGGTAAGGGGAGTTGGAGGGAGGGTGTGGGAGGTGGGTATGATCACAACACACTGAATATATGTATGTAATTTCCAAAGAAAAAACATACTCTGAAATTTGCAATATCGATAACTTGTAGTCTGCTGAGAACTCTAGGTTGAGGGGGCTGACATCTCATTTTATTTTATATGTGTTCTATATGTATTTTTAATATATATTAGTTATTTTAACTTATTTTCAGTTTGGGGATCTCTAACCTAAAACCCTGGGGAACACCCCTGTAGAAAAGGGTAATCAAATCTGCAAAAGGCTGCTGGTTGAGTCAGTAGGACAGTTTTGTTTTGCTTTAACTTTTTTAAAAATTTAAATTAGAAACAGTCTTATTTTACATATCAATTCCAGTTCCCTTTCCCTCCCATCCTCCCAGGGAGAGTGAGGCCTTCCATGGGGAATCATCAAAGTCTATCACATCATTTGGGGCAGGGCCTAGGCCCTCCCCAGTGTGTCTAGGCCAAGAAAGTATCCCTCTATAGGGAATGGGCTCCCAAAGTCCATTCCTGCACTAGGGATAAATACTGGTTCCACTACGAGAGGCCCCATAGATTGCCCAGGCCTCCTAACTGTCACCAAGCTTAGGGGCCCTGGTTCAGTCCTTTGCTGGTTCTCCAGCTGCCTGGCTGGGGTCCACGAGCTCCCACTTGCTCAGGTCAGCTGCTTCTGTGGGTTTCCCCAGGATGGTCTTGACCCCTTTGTTCATCACTCCTCCCTCTCTACAACTGGATTCCAGGAGTTGGTCTCATTGCTTGGCTGTGGATCTCTGCTTTTGCTTCCATCAGCTACTGGATGAAAGCCCTAGGATGGCATTTAAGGTAGACATCAGTCTCATTATAGGGGAAGGGCATTTAAGGTAACCCCTCCCCTGTTGCTTAGATTCTTAGTTGGGGTAATCCTTGTGGATTTTTGGACATTTCCCTAGTGCCAGATTTCTAGTAGGACAGTCTTAGCAAAGGCTTATAATGGGATCTGGGCTGGCTAGGTGATTGCAAAGGGGGCTTTGGGGTGGGCTTTCCTCTGGGTAGATACCATCAAGATGCTGGGGGTAATGTGGTGTCTTAGTAAATCTCTGAAGTGGAGGCAGACAGGACAGGATCTAGGACTTTCTTGCAGTGACACCTGAGACTGGCAGTCTCTTTCTGGGTTCAGCTCCCAGAAGTTGACTTGCTTCTCTCTTTCTCAGCTGACATCAGAACCAATTTGAGTGGGCCTTTTCCCCTTTGAAGAGTGGACTGTGGTGTGAAGAGTGGACTGTGTGTGAAGAGTGGACTGTGTGTGAAGAGTGGACTGTGGTGTGAAGAGTGGACTGTGTGTGAAGAGTGGACTGTGTGTGAAGAGTGGACTGTGTGTGAAGAGTGGACTGTGGTGTGAAGAGTGGACTGGGGTGTGAAGAGTGGACTGGGTGTGAAGAGTGGACTGTGTGTGAAGAGTGGACTGGGTGTGAAGAGTGGACTGTGGTGTGAAGAGTGGACTGTGGTGTGAAGAGTGGACTGTGGTATGAAGAGTGGACTGTGGTGTGAAGAGTGGACTGGGGTGTGAAGAGTGGACTGTGTGTGAAGAGTGGACTGTGGTGTGAAGACTGTGGTGTGAAGAGTGGACTGTGGTGTGAAGAGTGGACTGTGGTGTGAAGAGTGGACTGTGTGTGAAGAGTGGACTGTGTGTGAAGAGTGGACTGTGTGTGAAGAGTGGACTGGGGTGTGAAGAGTGGACTGGGTGTGAAGAGTGGACTGTGTGTGAAGAGTGGACTGTGTGTGAAGAGTGGACTGTGTGTGAAGAGTGGACTGTGTGTGAAGAGTGGACTGTGGTGTGGAGAGTGGACTGTGTGTGAAGAGTGGACTGTGGTGTGAAGAGTGGACTGTGGTGTGAAGACTGGAATGTGAAGAGTGGACTGGGGTGTGGAGAGTGGACTGTGGTGTGAAGACTGTGGTGTGAAGAGTGGAATGTGGTGTGAAGAGTGGACTGTGAAGAGTGGACTGGGGTGTGAAGAGTGGACTGTGGTGTGAAGACTGGAATGTGAAGAGTGGACTGGGGTGTGAAGACTGGAATGTGAAGAGTGGACTGGGGTGTGGAGAGTGGACTGTGGTGTGAAGAGTGGACTGTGTGTGAAGAGTGGACTGTGTGTGAAGAGTGGACTGTGGTGTGAAGACTGGGGTGTGAAGAGTGGACTGGGGTGTGAAGATTAGACTGTGGTGTGGAGAGTGGACTGTGTGTGAAGAGTGGACTGGGGTGTGGAGAGTGGACTGTGTGTGAAGAGTGGACTGGAGTGTGGAGAGTGGATTGGGGTGTGAAGACTGGGGTGTGAAGAGTGGACTGGGGTGTGGCTCAACATGAGACCAAAAGAAAGTGAGAATTTGAAGACCACGCATAATATTGAAAAATGCACAGGTTCCTGAGCCCAGGTCCTGAGCCTCCAGGCCCTGAGCCACTAAACAAGTAGATTTTTACCCCAGACTCGTCATGTACAAGCTTTGTAGTCTTTACAGCCTGCTGTTTGAGGTCATCCTACAACACCATCTCTTCTGCCCTGCTGTACTGATCTGAGCAGTCACAAGTCTCCAGTGGGGGAAGGACAAGATGGTGAATCACCCCTTGATGGGGAGACTGTCAAAGAATGTACAGCTCTTCACACACACACACACACACACACACACACACACACACACACACACACACACACACACACACAGTACTGCAGGTAATGTGCACATGCAAAAATCATGTTCCCATATTAAGCAGGCAAGTGACTAGGTTTTGCAGATAATTTTATTTATTTGTTTATTTGCTTGTTTATTATTTCTTGGCTGTGGGCGTTTTGTCTGATTGCATGTCTGTGTATCACATGTGTGCCTGATGCCTAGTGGAGTCCAGAAGAGGGCAAGGCGGTGGATTCCCTGGAACTAGAGCTACAGAGGTTATAAACCGCAGGGCTCTTGGCACTGCTCTTTTTTTAATGTGAGGTACAGTGTGGTGGTTGGAGCCCAGCATGAGGGAAGCTTGAGCCACACAGAGACAAAACGATAGTAAAGGTTTGGGGTTCTTTTCATGGAGGAGCTGGTCTGTCAACATTTGCCCACCTTACATATGGAATGAATGGATTTTTACCTTGTTTAAACTACTCAGATAAGACTTTGCAGTGGATACATATACCTTAACTAGAGCCACAAGGACATGAAATGGAGAATCCTTTCAGGGTAGCTGATGGTCATCTGGACCCTTCTCCTACTTCTCCACAGTAGGACTCCCTGGGTAGAGGCAGAGTTGTAGAAGTTGCAGAGAGCCCTGGTTATAGACTGAACATGTGAATGTCTTTTTAGATTAGAGAATTTCTACTCTGGAGACCACCGAGGGCTTTAGTCAGGAGGATCACAGGGAGGTTGTCCCATTAGAGGCTAAGGGGTGGGGCTGCCTGGGAGGGTGGTGCTGGTGGGGAGGTAGGCTACATGTCCTGCTTCCCTTCCTGCCAGTTAGGAGATGACACCTCTGTGTCAGTTCCCCTGCCAGGGAAGAGAGCTCTGGCTGGGGTCAGCAGAGCTACCTACAAAGCATGATTAGTTCATTCCAGGTCTGTATTAAAGTACAGGGATGTTTTTTTTGAGGGGGAAGTCATTTGCACGAGAAGTCAAGAAAGCCACACAGCCAAAGCCACACAGCCAAAGGTCCACACACTGCTCTCCAGACACAACTGGAACACAACCAGAACCCCAAAGAGAGAGCATCTCCCCCCCAGCTCTTTTATCCCCTGTATGTTCTACGTACCTGTGACCACACCCAAACGGACAGAGTCAGTGCTATGGGTTCTTAGATCTCTCCCTACACAGGTATATTGAATCCACTGAATTCTGGCTTTATTAACTTAGCCATGTCCTAATGTCTCTGAGCCTCAGTGTCCACACCTGGAACTCAGGGCAATAGAACCTACCAGGGGTGGGGGTCCAGGGAAATGGTATTCAGGTAGTTAGCACTGAGAACACACAGCTAAAGGCCATTGCCTCATGTGTCTACTGGCTGGCCTCTGTCCTCCTTTGGCCTAAGGTCAAGGCATGCATTTCCTTTCTCTTTCTAAAATCCAGAACACAGACAGAGTGGACCTTTGATCCCAGCATCGGCATCTGGAGGACTTCCTGTCTGCTGCTTACAGGTCTAGATGGGCAGATCTTCAGATCCACAGTCAATCAAGGGAGTGAAGCAGCGGGAGCTGGTTGTTGGTGTGTGTGTGGGCAGTGGGGGTGTTGTTCTCATGGCTGGAAGGCCACATTCTTCCTTCACTTGCTCCCTAGCCTCCAGTCTCTCTGGCCACCTGTGTTACACAGATTCATCAAGCTCATGCCAACCTCAGGGCCTTTGCATTGGCTGTTCTCTCTAGCAGGCTACTTTTCCTCCAGATCTCCATCTGCCTGTGTCCTCTGCACCTGCTTAGACCTGGATGTAAAAATTGTCTCCTTAGGGCTTGGAGAGATAGCTCAGTGAATACTTGTTTTGGGGCTGGAGAGATGGCTTAGGGGTTAAGAGCACTGGCTGCTCTTCCAGAGGTCCTGAGTTCAATTCCCAGCAACCACATGGTGGCTTACAACCATCTATAATAGGATCTGATGCCCTGTTCTAGTGTGCAGGTACACATGCTGAACACTCATACATTAAAAAAAAAAAGAACACTTTTTGCTCTTGTAGGGGACCTGGGTTCAGTTTCCAGCACTCACACTGTGACTCAGTCATGTGACTCAGTCATCTGTAACTCCAATGCCAGGGGATCTGATACCCTTTTCTGACCTTGCTGGGTTTTTTTTTGTTGTTTTTTGTTTGTTTGTTTGTTTGTTTGTTTTTAACGAGACAGGGTTTCTCTGTATTGTTTTGGAGGCTGTCGGTCCAGCCCAGCCTCGAACTCACAGAGATCTCTGTCTCTGCCTCCCGAGTGCTGGGATTAAAGGTGTGTGCCACCACCGCCTGGCCCTTGCTGTTTTTTTTGTTTGTTTTTGAGACACGGTCTCTCTCTGTGGTCTTCCCTTTGTAGACCAAGCTGGTTTTGCATCTTGACTACTTTTGATCTGCTCCTTTGCCATCTTCCCCTAAGTCTGTTCACGTCAATGAGGTGGACTGTAGACATCTGTCCACACACTGCTCCATCTCCACCACCCAGCCAGGCCTTGGTCCAGGGGCCTTCAACCAATCACAGCTGTGCAAGTGAATGCACCCAAGGAGGAACGAGTGAACACTGATGAACCCACCAGGTCCAATGATGCATGTGTCTGAAAAGCTGCTCCACTAAAGAGGCTACGGCTGCTGTTGCCAAGGCAACAATGCCTGCTTTCCAAAGTATCTTTAAAAGAGAGAAGCAAAGACTCACACAGACAGTGATGGGAAGGAAAACCCAGACAAGGCTCCATTCCTGACCCTTCCACGAGGGCTGCCTGTTTTTGCTCTCATTCCCCCAAGGGCCACCTTCCCTGTTGTCCTTTGTTAGGTCCCTGATATGGACACAGTGACCTCCAGTATAGACACAGCCTTTTCCGGCCACACACAGTGCTCTTGGGAACAGTGTATGCTGCCTGACTGCTCCATCAGGACCTACCAGGACTGACCAGGCATCAGTGAGAAGGACAGGCTGGTCTTGAAGTTTTTCTAGAAAGTTCCTTTAGCCCCTGTCATGGGCAGCAGGGACAGTACTTTAGCGTTTTTATGGTAGGTAGCCACATGTCTCCACAGAACTCACGGAAGGAGGCAGCTCAGGGCTGCGTGTGTACTGGAGTGAGTGACTATGCACCTGGACGAAATTCTTCCTTCACCCTAGAAATGGAAGGACACTGAACAAGAAGAGGTGACTCAGGGGCAAATATCCCTGATCGGATTCACAGGGATGGTGGCCCCAGGAGCCGCAGCCTGATCCCCTGCTCCTTTAGCATCTCCAGTGAGTCAGCATTGCCTTCTTCCAGCTGTCGGAGGTTGGTGGGTGCTTCATGGGACACCAAGGAGCAGAGAGGACCAGGGCTCTTCAGCACCATCTCTGGGCAGGACACCTCAGGTTCCTGATTATCTGAGGCAACCTGGGGCTCAACTGACACCTTAGGCAAGACTTGGGGATAGCAAGGTTAGGGCAGGGACCATGGTGGGGAGACAGACAAGAGGAATTAGAGTTACTCCTGCCCCTCTGCTTCCTGCAAGCAAGACTTGGCTTGGTCCAAGTGACTCTGCCTTGGTCAGATAAGATCATGTAACCTGGCTTTGGCCACTCAGATCCATGCTGTCCAGACAGAGTCATCTTTGGTTGGGACCTCTGGGCCAGAGCAGTTCTCTGCTGAGAATGCAGCCAACCGGGGGTGTGACAAGTTACAGGTAGAGGCATCACACCAGAGACCCTGCCGAGGATGCAGTCAACCAGGGGTGTGACAAGTTACAGGTAGAAGCATCACTTGAGTACCCGGGGCTAGCTAACTGAAAATGTCCCATGTATGTGGGTGAGCTCATCTTTAGGATGCTGTTTCTGTGTGACCTGGTGAGGAGAAAGGAGGGTGAGAGGGCAGGATAGATGTTTAGAAGCAGTCCAAAGGTGAACTGATGGAGGGGCTGCCTTCCGGGACCCACAGCTTTGCCTTGCTTTGCTTCCCAGCGTGCGGTAGCCTAGAAACATCACAACACGGAGGTAAATGCTGTGAACACAGGAATAGGATACTCCCTGCTTGCCAGGATCAGGAGTAGGAGCTACTCTTTTTTTGCCTTCCACTAGGATATGGAGCTTGTCCATTAGACCAGACTGACTGTCCAGTGAGCCCCAGCGTCCCACTTGTCTTTGCCTCCTCAGTGCTGGCATTACAGGAGCAGCCACTGTGCCCATTTTCTCATCTGGGCTCTGCAGATTAAACTCGGTTTCTCATGGGGCACTTCACTGACCAGGCCATCTCCCCAGCTCAGGAGCCAGCATTCTGCTGGGAGACAAGCGGGGACATTGGTATGAGGGGCTTCATTCTTCCATGGCCCAGCACAGCTGGAAGGCAACATTATTAGGTCCATTTCTCAGACAGGACAACAAAGACCCTGGGAAGCTGAGCCACTGGATTAGGATCTCAGAGACGGTATGACCCCCCTCCCCAAACCTTTCCCAGTCTCATACAGTAGGTGCTAAGTGAAATTCTGATGGGTAAATGCTGAGTAAGATTATTAGAACTTTCCGTGCAGCAGCCTGTTCCTAAGTCTTTTCCCATCCTGCTGGAAATACCCCTGCCTTGCTGGACCCCAGGGAGGAAGGAGCCCATCCCTGCAGGCCTAGCTTGCCCAGGAGACCTCAGAAAGGTGATTCCTGGCTGGGCTGGGTGTCAGGGGACTGTGGAAGGAGACACAGTGGTGCTCCAGGCAAGAGAGTGGCTGTGGCCTCCCTTTCCAGCTAGAGCTTCTTAGAAGTCTCATCTCCGAAGGGGACAGAGGGGTGGTGCTGTGTTGGATGAGGCGGGAAGGATCCCTTGGCACTGGTGTCAAGCCTGACAGTTGCTGGACTGAGTCAGGGTGTCTGAGGAGCCCCAAAGGCAGTCACATAGGCAGAGGTCTAGCGTTTTGTGGGCAAAAGGATCCCTGGAGGAGATAAACTCCTAGCACAGACAGGATCTCTGTTCTAGAACCTTCTTTAATGGCATGTGTCTATTTTAATGCAAAGCTCCTAGTGTTTTAGAGGATATCTGAGGCTGCCCTATGATCCTTGTAACCAGTAAATGTGGGGTAGAGCTGGAGGTGGGGGGCATATCCCTAGGAATCCTCCTCATGATGGGTGAGGACCAGATTTTCCAAGGGAATCTATGGCCCTGAGATGGAACAAATATGGCTTCATAAAAAATGTGTGTGTGTGTGTGTGTGTTCCTGTTCATATCCATACATGTGGAGGCCAGAGGTTAGCTTAGGTCTTCCTCAGCTATTTCTCTACCTCATTTTTTTCTGTCATTGATTCAATGAGGTTGACTCCAGAGAGTCACCAGTCTCTGCCACCACTGTGCTGATTACAGGTCCTTATGGCCACATCCAGCTTTCTACATGGATGCTGGGGATCTGAACTTTGGCCCCCATATTTGCTTGGCAAGAATTTTTACCAATTGAGCCAAATAAGGACATTTGGAGAAAGCTGCTTCTCCTACCCCCTTCATGGGTAGCCACAAGGCTTGCAAACACATGAGAGGCTCTGACAAGTCCTGCAGTTAAGAAAGCCTGTTCTTTTTATTTGACCTGCTGATTCTCACTTCATCCTCGGTAGTTTAGAGAGGAACCCTGGTTACTACCTGTGGAGCACACTCTAAGGTGGCACATTGGCATTATAAGACCCCTCTCATACCTCCAGAAGCTTCTGAGAGACCAGATCTGACTGTCAGCCACTGAAGTCCAGGAGCCACAGAGCACTGGGAAATAATGGCTAGCACTGGGGTTGCCGGCAGGGGAGCAGGAACAGTGGCCAGGCCTTGGAAAGAGTCTGCAGTCATCTCAAGGCTGGGGAAACTTGGAATTGGAGAAGGGAAATAGATTCTCAGCCTCCCCCTGGAGGAGGGCACCCCCAGTCTGGAAGGTTCTCCCACCTGCTGCAACCCCAACCTCTTGAGGTGTCAAGTTTAGTCTGCCTCAGGTCACAGTGGGGAGTCCTTGCAGGTGGCATTATGAAGAAGAGTATAGGAACCACAGAGGCAGTGCCACAAGCAGCCAGCATTTCACGATGGAGGGGCACAGAGAGGCAGGTGAGTCTTTGTAATTTAGGGGCTAGGTGAGCCGGCTCTGGTGTCCTCGAATGTCAAGGATGAGCCTGGGCACTGATGTCTTGGCGGGGCCCAGCTCGCACAGAGCCATCCAGGTTGAGAATCCTCCTATGGCATCAGTCTCTGTAGGGCTGTGTGTCAGGCACCCATTGGCCGCAGCATCATGCGTGTGCCGTGCAGTGAGTAGCTGGGGCCCCGGAAGTAGTGCCAGCGAATGCCATTGATCTTGTGCAAGTGTTGATGGACTGGGTAGTAGATGCCATTGAGGTTGGAGAGGCCACAGGCGTCAAACCACCACCCTAGTGGAAGAGGGAGGACAGAATTTGGGGGAGATGGGATGTGGTGGCCCGGATTCTAGGAGGGTAGGGCTGGTGGGCTGTCATCTTGGGGTGCCAGCTTGCTGAAGGCAGTGGGCTGGGCACGGGAAGAGGTGAAGTCAGAGCTATGAAGGGCATCAGAGGCTCTGTTCACGGCCCAGGCCCCTCTGTGACTTCTTCATGTCTCTCTACACCCCTATCTCCATCTTTTTCCCTTGGTGACCTCCTACCATACTGTGCCATGCCTTCTTGTTTTCTCTAGAGGTCTGTGTTTGTGGATGCCCCTCTATGTGTCTTCTTGTTTTCTCTGGAGGTCTGTGTTTGTGGATGCCCCTCTGTGTGTCTTCTTGTTTTCTCTGGAGGTCTGTGTTTGTGGATGCCCCTCTATGTGTCTTCTTGTTTTCTCTGGAGGTCTGTGTTTGTGGATGCCCCTCTGTGTGTCTTCTTGTTTTCTCTGGAGGTCTGTGTTTGTGGATGCCCCTCTATGTGTCTTCTTGTTTTCTCTGGAGGTCTGTGTTTGTGGATGCCCCTCTGTGTGTCTTCTTGTTTTCCCTAGAGGTCTCTGTGTTTGTGGATGCCCCTCTATGTGTCTTCTGCCTGCATCATCTTGCTTTCTGTCCTTGTTGAACTCTCTTCCCCTGGGGCTCTGTCTCCAGCGTGCTCTGCACACCTCTTGCCCATCCATTGGGCTTTATTCCTCTCCTTGCTGTCTGCTGTCATCTGCACCTCTCTGCCTCCGCCACCTTGTGTCACTGTTGGCCTCCTCTGGTCCTCGTCTCTATGACTTGAGTCTCATTTATCTGTGCTTTCCCTAACCTGCCGCCATCCTCTGGCTTTTGTTCCTACCAGAGCACTGCCTGACAAAGGTGTGGAATGGACCTGCCTTTCCCCCATCCTGTTTCTACCTGGCCTGGGGAGTAGGGGACTCCTCATACAAGAGGGTGGGGTTGATGGGCATCATGCTTTCCCAGAACCACCCTTGGTGTCTACCAGCTGGTCTCTAAGGAGATCTAGGGTGTTTCTGTAGGAGGTACAACCCCATGGGAACTCCAATGACCTGGAAGACAGCAGTTTGGCTGGAGCCTCATCAGGAACACCCACCCCCAGACATCATCTGGACATACCCTCCTCTACCTCCAGACATCATCTGGACACGCCCACCCCCAGACATCATCTGGACATACCCTCCTCCACCTCTAGACATCATCTGGACACACCCACCCCCAGACATCATCTGGACATACCCTCCTCCACCTCCAGACATCATCTGGACATATACTCCTCCACTTCCAGATAGCATCTGGACACACCCACCTCCAGACAGCATCTGGGCACACCCACCTCCAGACATCATTTGAGCACATTTGCACATGCAGTTGTCATTGTCCATGTCGCTGGTGCTGAACTTGGTGCCCCGCGGAGCCAGGCTGTTCTTAAGCCCCGTTGAGCTGCTGCTTGCATTCACCAAGAGGCTAGAAGCCCAGGAGGAAGGGTAGGGTAAGAAAGGGGTGCGGAGTTAGGTTGGTGCTCCCCAAAGGGCTTTGTTCTGGCAAAGTTTCCTTCCTGATGTTTTTGCAGGGGAAACAGCCTGCTCTGATGCCCAGGCCATTGTCCCTCCTGGTGACCCTCCTCACTTGCATAAACCCTGGTGTCACAACACTCACTGCCGCTGGCTCCTTCTTATTTGCTGAATTGGGGTTCCAGGGAGCTCTGAGTGGGAGACACAGATGCTGTCTGGCGGTGGGTGTGTCCAGATGAGGTCTGGAGCTAGCAATCTTTTGAGCATCTGCTGTGGGCCGGGCATTGTTTCAGTGTCTTGAGAGGGATAACCCATTTTCATTTAAACCCCATGAGGACTTGGGGATGCAAGAGTCAAAGGATGTGGCTCAGTTCTCAGAATCAGTAGCCATCAGAGCTAGCATCCAGTCTGGAGGGCCTGGCATTGCCTGCAGACCACCTTGCAGTACATCACTGATGCTCTGCTCCACTCCCCTTCCTGAAAGCCTTCCCTGGACACACCAGCCCCATGTACCAACACGCAGGAAACCCCAGCTAAGCGGACAGAGGGCTTCTAAGTCTTTGCCAGACTCTGTATCCCTGGTGACTATGTCCAAACCTACAGGGTGATAATGACTGTGGGGTCAGGGTAGGACAGAGTGCCTGGATTCAAACCCCAGCATGGCCTGGCTTTGGGAAGTCATCCTCACCCCGCTGAGACTCAGTGTCTCCCCCTACTCAAATGGTGATAAGAGACTTACTGTGACTTTATTCGCCTTGTGATTTAGTGGCATCAGCAGGTGAAGTGTGCTGAGAGGTTGGGAGGTGTCAGTGTGAGCCCTGCACATTCAGGACTGCTGATTCGGTCCTTGGGATAGGCCAGCCTGGCTGAAAAGTGTAGGCAAAGCTTGCCTGAGCAGCTGAGGCACAAGTTGGCTTGGGAGCCACTAAGATGCTTTAATAGTACAGGGAAGCAGATGGAGGGGACAGCCAGGGCAGGGCCTGGCAGCCAGTCCTGCAGGCCCAAGGAAGCATGGGGCCTCTCTATGTCTGGCTCAGTCCATGCCTCTCACCCACAGGCTCTTGTCTGAGGCCAGGCAGGGTATTCATGACCAGTCATGAAAGCCCAAGTGCGCCCTTAACATGTGACTCTAGCCCCAGGGACCAGCGTTATGTAAAGGTGTGACGGCTAGGTTCTGGCTTCTTCCTCTGGCCATTAAATTCAGGGATGTCCCTCTTCTTTTTGGGAACCAGGATGGGTGTCAGTGATTCTCTGGGGACCTCTACCTCAGGGCACAGGAAACCTCACTTTGATCACGTGTGTCTGAAGAAACCCAGATACTTGAATCTCTTGGGAATTCTCCAAATGAGAGTATGAAGTGTGTCCCATCATGTTCAGAGGGTTCCCGGCACTGCTTGTGACAGACAAGGGCGCCTCTACCTGTCGCTGCTAACCTTTTCTTTCCCTCCTCTGGGCTTTTCTATGGCTGCTCCCACCTTAGCTGCTGACCCGGATGTGGGTCCCAGTGCAGGCTGTCATCCTTCTCCCCCTGCTCCTCCTTCTCCTTTAGCAGTTTCCAGGCCTTCCAGTGGTTTCCAGGAATCCACCCCACGCCCAAGCCAGTCTTCCTTATGGCCCTAGACTCCCTAGTGAACATCTTATTCAGGTTTGGGGAATGTATAACCCAGGGGGATGCCAACTCTTTGCTATTTTTTTAAATGTATGTGTGTGTATGTGTGTGTGTGTGTAGATGTTTGTGTATAGAAGTGTACATATATGTTTGTGTGCTCATGGAGGTCAACGGACAATCTTGGGTGTCCTTCCTCAGGCATTTGCTTTGAGACAGGGTGTTTATTTCATTGACCTGGTGAGCTCCAGTGAGCTTCCTGTCTCTTCTCCAGCACTGAGGATATAAGCATGTACCACCATGCCTGCCTTTAAAATTTTGGGTTCTGGGGATTAAACTTGGGCCCTTATGTTGGAAAGGCATGAACCTTATTGACTGAGCTATCTCTTCATTCCTCTCTGCTGTTTTTGAGAAAATCTCATTTTCTAGAATTCCCTCCAAAGCGACTCATTTTGTCACAAGCCTCACCTCTCCTTGATTGTCCTGGATGTTGTCCCTGGCAGCTACTGCCTCCCTGGAGGAAGTGGGTTGCCTGTGGACATGTCTCTCCCCGACTACACTATCACCACATTGGGGTATGAGCAGCTCTGAGGAGGTAGGTCCAGACCAGGGATTTTCCCAAGTGATCAGCACGTGCCTGGCACAGGGCAAGTCTCAATACCCTGTCATTAGGGCTCTGCAGCCTATTAAGTACATGCTGCCCTTTAAGGCATGGTAGAGTAGGTAGCAGGGAGCTCTCCATGGTTCAGAGACAAAGCCAGAGGTGCATAAAACACCCAGTTTACATGCAAAGAGCTTAGGGAAGGCGGAGACCTGAGCACTACTGGTGATAGACACAAACTCATACACTGTTAGACAGATGTTGGGGGTAGAATAGTTCTGACTTTCAACCTAGCATTTAAAGATCTCCAACACTTACCCAACACTCACTATATGCTAGTTGCCTTACCCATAGGTTATGATGCCAGACTCTGGCTCTCAGAGCAAGCCAATGGCACATGAGAGCTGCAACAGGAATAGCTATTACAATACTGTTTCCCTGCACTGTGAGGGCGACTTGGGTGGAACCCCACATCTGAGTCTGCATTTCTGAACTGGGTGGGGGTGTACGTTCAGGGCTTCTACCAGGCCAATGAAAGGGTAGAGGGATTTGCTCAGGGCCAGTCAGAAAGGGGTGCTGGTGGGACACGGCCTGTCCTTTAAAGGTCAGTGGCATCAGTAGGCACCAGTAGGGTGTGTCAAGTTCTCCCTGTGAGGTCCTGGAGCACCTGTCTCAGCTCTGCACAGCTCAGTCTCAGGGATGCATCCTCAAGCATCGGGGTGTGTCCCACAAAGGAGGCTGGCAGGCCCACTGTGCAAGGATATTTCATAAGAAAAGGGAGGCATGGATGGAGAGATTCTGGGGGAGGTCCCTAGAAGTAAATTTACAGGCAAAGAGTCATTTAGAGATCCCCGGGAGGAAGAGCGAGCTTCTCGGCTTTCTGAAAGTTGTCTGCAGCTGTAGAGGGGACATATGTCAGGGGGCATCCTTGCAGCACCATGGGTGAGTCCATGAGCTCATTCAGGCCTGGTTCAAAGATAGCTAAGACACTGGCTTAGTTTGAAGGTCAGTGAGTGTCTCAGAGAGGTGACATCACAGAGTGGAGACACGGGATTTGATAACGGGGGAACTAAGTTCAGATCCAGGATCCATTTAACTTGGCATTTTAGACAAAAGACTCAGTTTCCTTCTCACGAAACCATGTGCAGTAATGTCTGCCCCACACCGTTGAGGAGAGGGTTAAACAGTGTCTGGGAAATGCTTCTTTTCCCTATCACACACCATAAACCAGGCAGAGGGTGGGGGCGGGAAGCCTTGATGACTTGACTGTGGTCTTACGCCCAACACTGCTGAAGAGAATGCTGACCTTGATGTGCCCAGGCTTTATTCAGAGCTGCAAACAGCAGCGCTGGGAAGGGTTCTTCTTTCTCCCACTGTGGGGACTCTCTCACCGTACCACAGGGCATAGGACAAACTGAGAAGTCAACCCCCACTCCTGCTGTCTGTGGCTGGGGCGATCCCTTCTGCTCTAGGCATGGTGGCGTCAGTGACAGTCTCTTCACCCCACCCAGTGGCCGAGATGTGCTGAGTGCTAAGCAGCCACCTCCAGATCCCGTGACGTGCACCCAAATGGGGGCCAGATGGTGGAGGCAGGAGACGCCCAGGGAATGACCCTTGGTGCAGGCTCTGCAGCCACTTGCCTTGGGACTCCAAACCACCCACAAGCCTGGGCCCCAAGCCCACCTGTACCGCTGCCTCTCATTGCCCAGCTGGAAATGCTCATACTGGATGGAGGTCTGGCGGCCTTCCCAGTCATGCAGCTCCACACGCAGCAAATGGGCTGTCCTGCTGGTGAGGTGGTGCACAGCCTCGTTGCCCAGCCAGAGCTCTCCGGCCACATTACCAAAACCCTGTGGGGGAGGAGAGGGAAGGGTGGCTGTGTGCTGAAGAGGGAGGTGGTGTCTGTGGCCGAGGAGCTGGGTCAGCCCAGGCTCCACGGCCACTTATCCAAAGACGGTGCCTAATGAGCAAGTTCGTAAGAACAGTACACACAGGCCTGGGACAGGAGCTCCCTCCCAGAGAACAAAGATAAAGCATTTGTAAAATTTAAATCTGCTAAAAATAACCGAAATCACATTCCTCTAAAGTCAGAAACACGCAAAACTCACTTGTGGTGACGGGAATTGGATTGGCTTGGGAGAATGGCTCAGCAACGAAGAGCAATTGTTGTCAAGAATGAGGGCTTGAACCCCTGACACCCATGCACAAAGCAGGGGCAAGGGGAGCACTGAGGCTTGCTGACCACCAGCCTAGCTATAGGCTAGTAAGAGACCCAGACTCAAGGAAGTAAGGAAGAGAGTCACAGAGCAAGACACCTAACACCCTCTACTTGCCTCCTAGCATGGCTGGGAGCGTAAACCTGCGTGGGTGCAACACCATACAGGTAAACTCACACCTACAGACAATACACTAAACACAAGAAAGAAATAGCCACTACTCTGGGGACACACCTCAGGAGAGTGGGCACAGGGGGCTTCCCAGGAAGTTGGGTATTTAGCTATGAATGGTGGTCACATGGGTGAGCCTGGTGGGGAAATTCACTGAGCTTTCTGCTTTATAGTTGTGAACTCAGCTACATGTAAGTTAAGCCCCTGCAGGAAGGAAACAGCTGAGTGACTGAGCCAGCTGCTGAGCAGGAGTGGCAGGAGCACATTTTCCCAGAGGCAGGAGAGAGAGCCAACAGTTTCAGCAACAGAGAAATGTAAGGCTACAACTCTTCAGAGTGTCTTTATGTGTCCAGGGTAGCAAGAAACTGATGACCTTGGCAGGGAAGTCCCTCAGGACCAAGGACAGGGACACAAAGTCCTTGATCTGCTGGCTGCTTAATGCCAACTACTTTTAAGTCCTTATCTGGAGGACGGCCAGTGGATACCGATTGTTTGATTCCTTGTGAATATCTTCTTCTACTTCTTTTACTTTTGAATACTTTAAGAGTCTTTAAGTCAGCCTGCCAAAACTCCTGTGTTCAAAATTAAACTGAAAACCAATATTGGAAGGCAGCTGGGCACTCACTGTCATCCTATACAACACACTGTTCCTTGAGGTAGCAGCCCCACCTTGGAGAATTACCCTATCATCCTAGTGTTGTGAAGGTGAAGACAGGAGGTCCAGAACTTGAAGGTTATCTTCAAACAGGAGACTTTGAGGTCAACTTGAAATACAGGAAATCCAGAAAAAGATGAGGAGGAGGAGATGGAGGAGGAGAAGGAGGAAGAAATTTGTTTTGTAGATGTGTTACAGATGTATACAGAAATGAGGAAATTTGTAGAGCCTGATGGTGCACACCTTTAATCCTAGTACTCAGGAAGCAGAGGCAGGTGGGTTTCTATGTGTTTTAGGCCAACCTTGTTTACATAGTGAGTTCCAGGACAGCCAGTGCTATATATATATAGAGAGAGAGAGAGACCCTGTCTCAGAAGAAGAAGAAGAAGAAGAAGAAGAAGAAGAAGAAGAAGAAGAAGAAGAAGAAACTCATTTAAGCCATATAGTCATGGATGATGGGAAGTTTTTCTTTCCTGTTTCATTCTTTCACTATTTTTCTGTGTGTATGTGCATATGTGTTGGTGTTTGTGTGCGTGTGTGTGTGCATGCGTGCGCGCACGCGCGTGCATGTATTTGTGCTATGTGTTGTGCATTGTGTTCTGTGAGTTGTGTGTGTGCGGGCTGTGGGCTATGTGGAGTGTGTGTGTGTGTGTGTGTGTGTGTGTGCGCGTGCGCGCGCAGTCCAGAGGTCAACCTTAGGTGTAACTCCTTAGGGGTTGTCCTCCTTTTTGAGACAGGAACTCTCACTGGCCTGAGCTGGACAATTCGCTGGGCTGATTAGTCTCTGAACTCCAGGGATCTGTCTGTCTGCCTCCTCAGATCTGGGATCACAGGTTCATGCCACCCTTCCCAGCTTTCTTATATGGGTTCTGGGGTTCAAACTTAGGTCCCTGTGTTCACCCAGCAGGCATGTCACCTACTGAGCTACCTCCCCAGTCCTTCCTTTGGAGTCTTTAAAAGGTGTTACCAACATGCATGTGTTACTTTCCCAAATATTAACACAAAAAAAATTTCATTTTTAGGACACATAAGAGAAATGACGAAAGAGGGCATAATTTGAGGCTGGGGTCCGGACAAGCAAATAAACCTGGACAGTTGACTTTAGGTCATCTGGGTTTTTGCACTGAGGAGAGGTAAGGGTATACCAGTCCCCACCCACAGCACCCCCTCCCTGCACAGGCTTTGGGTTGGGATCCCCCAGGACAACATATTACCTCTTTGTATTCCTCCCAGGTCCTCTGGAAACTCATGCTTCCATCCTGCCTGCGTTGGATGAGAGTCCAGCCACCTCCATCAGTCTCCATGTCACAGAACACCTGGGGTTGGGCGTGGCACACAACAACACAGCTGAAAGCTCTTGGAGGGGCTATAAGCCAACTCTCAGCCAGTCTAAATGTAACTTGGCTGAACTCTGCCCTTCTCCAGCTACAGCGAACCTGAGGTCAAAGGGTGTCGGGAAAATCCAGACTCAGACTCCCCGCCCACTGCCATCATCTTTCAAGGAGGCAGGTGAGGGACACCCTCTCACAGCCTTCTCCTTATTTGTGAAGTGCAGATGTTAACACAGTGAACTCTTTGTGCCCCATTCTCCTCTGCAAATGCTATAAACCTTAGAGGACATTCTGAAGAGAGGCTGACACACCCACTAAGTGCTTCTCATTTGTTAGTGCTGCAGGGGTGCAGCCAGGGTCAAAGTTCATATTAGACACCTGACAGGAACAACTTGAGGGAGGGAGGAAGGACTTATTTCACTCGTGGGCTCACAGCGTTTTCAGGACACAATTGTTTGGCATTCTGTGCTGGGACAAAACATTATGGTGGGAGAGAGAGGGGGGGTGGGGTGAGTGTGTGTGTGTGTGTGTGTGTGTGTGAGAGAGAGAGAGAGAGAGAGAGAGAGAGAGAGAGAGAGAGAGAGAGAGAGAGAGAGAGAGAGAGAGAGAGAGAGAGTATGCAGGGCTCAGCAGGCCCCAGAGGGAGGGAAGGTGGAGCCCTTGTTGTGGTGAGTGCTTAGGGTACGGAAGCCCAGAGAGGTGTGCAGCTAAGTGGGACCAAAGACACACTGAGGTCTGAGCTCAGAACTCTTGCCTCCCAGGCCAGCTCTCAGCTCTCCGTCAGCGGCCATTTACATCCACCCACATCCCACCACAGCTGACCTTACCCTCACACGGCACATTTGTTTTCAAAATGCTGCCTTTTCTGTGCTCACACACACAGGGTAAATGACGGTTGGAAAGGAAGCCTTATCAGTAACGGAAAGGGAAAGCCAGAGACACTCGCTTTATCTGGACAGTAGTAAACACCAGGAAAGCAAGAGTGTTGTCAAGAACCAGCTAGACTTTGCCAGGGCAAAGTCCTTGATCTCTTTGTGTGGAAAGGGGAGTGCGGCAGGTTATGTAGAAACACAAGTCAATCTGGGGTCAGACCAGGCTACAGTCCTCAAGATATGCAGAAAAGTGGGACTGGGGCTGTGAAAGGACTGCTCCCGTCCCCGGTGGCCTGTCCCAAACCCCCTCCTGACACTTGCCATAGAGGGCGGGCGGCTGGACAGGTGGACAGATGACCATTAAGCTTAGGGCAACCTTGGAGCCTCTCACCAATGGCATCCGACCCCATCAACCCATCACCAGCTTCATAGACCCAACTCCTGCTTCTGTTGAACTGTGTAAACAGAATAACCTGCTTGGGCAATGACAAATAGGAGTGCCCAGGGCCATCAGTTACAGGAATGGCCTGCCATCTTTACCAACAAAGAACAGTTTCCCGAGATTCTGCTTCAAGCCTGGTTCTGGAGAAGATGGTGACAAGGGTATACTGCTGGCTTTGTGAATGTGTGCTTCATCCTTTCCTCAGAAACCTGCCTGTTGTTTGGCTCTCAGATGGTAGATGAAGCCATCTGGGGTGGGGTGGGGTGGGGTGGGAGGGACTGTCAGAGAAACCCTCAGCTCAGTACCATCTCAAAGACCATGTCCAGGAGCTCCTAACCTTGAGAGGCCTTGTCATGTTGGCCACACGGATGGTATAGATGCCACTGGCATTGGCCCCGGAGCGCTTGATCTCTGCGCAGTCCTGGAATAGCTGTTTGGGGGTCTTTAGGGTTGCTGCAACAGACGAAGCAAATGTCAGCTGGAAGGCTAGGCACGGCAGTGCACACCTGGGATTCCAGCACTCGGGTAGCAGAGGTAGGAGCGCCTTGACTCTGAGACCTCCCTGGGTCGAAAGATCTTGTTTCAAAATAAAGGAAGAAGGGGAGGAGGAAGAGAGGGAGAGACTGAGAAAGAGAGAGAGGAGAAAACATCAGCTGGAAGTGAGCGAGGAGAGAGAAGAGATCAGGCTGGTGTACCTGCCTGCTCTGTGCACATTCTGGCTGGGGAGGTATGGAGTCAGGAAGACGAAGGTCTCTTCCAGGAGGGGATGGTGAGCTAGGACCATCCAGGTGAGGTGTGGGGGGGTCATAATACCCCCAGGTAGGAACATCTCTCTGTTCAGGGGATGGGGCAAAGGGAGGGTCATTGGTGTCCACCATGAGATCAGGGAGCAGTGGCACAGATATGTGGGGAAGGATAGAACAGCAAGAAGCCAGGGTTTCTGCAGGCTCAGAGCTTCAAATGCCAGCTGGAGAAATCTGGCCGCAGGGCTGTGGCACAGTGCTGAGTAGACCAGTCAGGAGCAGGGGATGCTCAAAGCAGGCGAGGGGGAGAGGCAGGTGACACCCACAGAGACACCCAGGTGACACATGGAGAGGCCAGGTGATACCTGCCACCCACCTAGGTGCTTCCCATGCCCAGGCAGGAAGCTGAAGCTCAGGATGAGGACTGACTCAAGGGTTTCCAGCCTCTCCTTCCTGGAGTGCCTTTGGGAGGGGGCCTGGACTTTCCTGTGGCCCATTGACAGGCTGGATCTCCTGCAGCCCCAGTGAAACCACTCATCCTGCTCTCCTTGGAAGCTGATGACTGGCCTTCAAGGACCCATGTATCCCTAAGCAATGTGTTCTGGAGACCAGGAGGCTATTATTTAATGACTAGAATTCACCACGACCCTCTGGACACACAGGGAGTTAAAAACCATCTATCTTATGTAGTAGGCTTGGGATGGGGCTCTACTAGAACCTAATCTAGCAGGATGGAGCTGAAGTTGTGGAGGGATAGCTGTCAATACAAACAAAATGACAGGACGCTACTGGGGACGGGACTTCCTGTCTGGGCCTTATACCTGGATGGTGGCTTCCAGATCCTGATGTTGGTAGACATATCTGAAAGAGGCTGTTCCAAACCACAAATGAAATGAATGTCTAGAATGTTTCCCGAGCAGGTTCCAGTGCCAACATGTCAGCAGCCACCAGATCGTCACAGCCCATAGGAATTGGGAGGTCAGGCAAATACAGGGGAGTTAGTGGCTTGGATGTAAGCAGGGACAGGCCATGCTGTTCCTAACAAATCAGGGCAGAGCTGGGAGCTAGCCCGGGGTTTCTAGATACACTCTTCGTGCTCTGACCACAGCCCATTTCCTCAGTGAGCAACAACAACAATGTTAACCCAATAAAAGTGCTTTTACCTTGAACTACTGTGTTGGAGGGTTTCCTAGGATGCTTGGAAAAAATGATTCAGGGGACAGCATAAAAATAAAGCAGGACTGGTCCGGCAATGACACGGTTGGACAGAATGTGTGCATGGGTGCTAACCCTGCCCGGTTCGATTCCCTTCTGGCTCTAGGCACCATGCAGACCCCCACCAGTGTGGCCTTTGGCGTGTTCTCTGCACAGGTGTGCTGGAGGCCTCTGTCCTATCATGTAGGTGAGGGGTCAGATGACTTCTGAGGTGAGGGAAGCAGCCAGGCTTGAATTCTGCTCCCTCCACTGGCTGGCCCCTCCCCTCTCCACCCTTCCTCATCTGAGTAGAGAGAGGCTAGGCAAACGGATTGCTGTGCAGACGCCGTTTTCACACGGGCAAGGCTGTGTCCCCTCTTCTCTTTGTGACTGACTCTCTGAGAAAGCTGGGCTTTTCCCCCCCTTTTTCTCTCCTCCCCAGGTCCCACTAGCTTCAGCATGCCCTGTCCCGTCCTTTGATTAGCTCCCATTCATCCAAACTCCCATGGGTTCTCTATCCATGCGGAGGACAAAAGTCACTCCCAAGGTCTTTTCCTGGTGACAGTCAGGCAAGTGGACAGCTGTTTGGACACTGAATGATGGGTGCTTGACACAACCTCCCTCTGGGAAGGGAACAGACACCCAGCCACAGTGGGACACATTAGAGCTGTGGGCCTGCAGGGGAGGCACCAGCCCAGGCCTTGGCCCTGTCTGTGAGAAACCCACACATGGGACTCATTCAGATTGTTTCACTGCCAGGGCTGTGCACAACTCCATAATGGCTTCCGGTCACTGCATATCCTGTGGGCTAGAAGGCATCTATCTCTCCCACTCATGGCTTCCCTGGCCTGCTGGACTTAGGGAGAAGTCATAGAGGGATCCTTTGCCCCATTCCCTATCAACCTGGAACCCCCTCACATGCTTAACGATTACGGAAGGTCCAGCCTCCTCCACGGTGGTTACAGATCGCCCTCCATCAGGAGCCCCTTTGGCATCTCACCCACCAAGCCAGTATCCACTTCATACTAACCTGTGCTTTCTAAAAGAAGCCCCACTGGGCATTGGTGGCACACGCCTTTAATCCCAGCACTCGGGAGGCAGAGGCAGGTGATCTCTGTGAGTTTGAAACCAGCTTGGTCTACAAAGTGAGTTCCAGAACAGCCAGGTCTGTTACACAGAGAAACTCTCTCTTGGGGTGGGGGGTTGGGGGGAGAGAAGTCCCACCCCACCCAGGCCCTCTTGTGCTCCTGCTGGCCTTAGGCAGAAGCGCCCTCTTCCTGGCTCAGCCCCTTAGCCTTCTGAGCTGTGGAAGCTGTAGTTGAACAGCTAAGAGTACCTAGCACACAGTGGGCCCTCAATGAAGAAGCGCTTCCTTCTCCTTCCTACTGAGACCTGCCAAGCGGTAGGAAAGTTTGCAGGAGACAGGGACTGTGACAGCTGTGTGCTGCTGAGTTCCTGCCACCCAAGCTCCTGCCTGGCACACAGTGGGTGCTCAATAAATGCTTGTTGACTGAGTGACTGCAGATGGAACTGGGCATGCCAGAGAGGGCTGTGGAGCAAGGTAGGCATGTTTCTGTCTTCTGTGGCAGTCTGGGGATGCCATATCTCTTCCCACTTCCATATGGCTGTCTAGGCCTAGGAGCAGGGGCGTTAAGAGGAGAAAATGAGCTATCAGTTAAGAGTCTGTTTGAAAAGAAAAAAGAAAGGGAGCTGGGACACAGACTAGTCAGTGCAGGCTGCTGTTGTCTGTGCTGTTATCTCAGCAGATAGGGAAACTGGGGCCGGGAGTGAAACAGGGGCATAGCTAAGGTCTCTTTCCTCCCCTCTCTGGCTCTCCACCCCTGCCCCTGCATACCGCCTCCTGCTCACCAGGGCGCTGGTCCTGGGCTACAATTCGAACCAGGCGCTGCACTAACTCCATCAGTTGCTGCTGCTGCTGCTTCAGGGAGCTGGAATTGCTGCCCAGGGCCTGCAGATTGTGCTTCAGGTTAGCCAGGGCCCCTGTCTGGTGGCCTAGGAGGCTCTGAAGTTGTTCTCTCTTGTCTTGGAGGCTGTTCATCTGGGCCTGGTGCTGTGCTTCCAAAGCCTGCAGCCTGCTCTCCAGTGCCCTGCCAGGTGGGACACAAAAGGGTAAGCCCAAGGTCTCCTTCCCCAACACTCGCCCCACCCCCAGCCTCCACGGGACCGAGTAGGACAGCTACACACAGGACGCAGTACAGAGGCCCAGAGACAGTCTGTGACTTGGCCGCAGGGTCACACAGCCTGTGTCTACTGTAGCTCAGACAGACAGACAGACAGACAGAGAGAGAGAGAGAGAGAGAGAGAGAGAGAGAGAGAGAGAGAGAGAGAGAGGCTGTGGAGAGGTTGTGGCTGAAGCTAGCGGGACCTGGGATAGGAGTGAGGAGAGGGGCAAGGTCAGCAGGGAGGGTAGTTGTGAGCAAAGTCCAGAAGCAACGCCTAGGACCCGTGTGCCTCCCCTCGAAGGAGACGGGAGTGTGGGCATGGTTCTGCTCATACTCGAGAAAGGGAGGCGTAACAGGCGCCCAGCAGCAGGGACTGGTGGCTCTGTCCTGTTCTGGGATTCCCAGGGTTGTGCTATAGCCACGGAGAGGATGGAGATGGAGACACTGGCAAAAAGGAGGTGGGATTAACACAGTGTGGCAGAGTCTCTGGTGGAACGCCAAGTGTGGGAGACCAAAAAAAGAGCCAGAGGAAAGGAATGCATGGCGGCATGGAGGTGCTGGGGACAGACCGGCAGGGTGTGGAAAGATGCTACCAGCCTCAGTGTTGGTGACTGGGAGGAACAAGACATGACAGACATGACCTGAGTATGACAGCTACACACTGTGCAGAGGCCCAGAGGTACTCAGTGTCTGCCTCACAGTCACACAGCCATGTCGTCTGTGTCTGCCATAGCTCAGATCAAGGAAGAGAGAGGCTGTGGAGTCACACGAATAGGAGTGAGGAGAGCAACGAGGTTGGGCTGGGCTTCTGTAAAATGGGTACATGTGACGGGCTTGTACACTGGTGTTCCTTTATTTGTTCACCTGCAGTGCTAGGGGTGGAACCCAGGGTCTGGGTCATGCTTAGCAAGTACTGGACTTGTGAGCTCAGCCTCAGCCACTTGCTTTTGTATCATGCAGGTCTGTTAGCACAAGGCACATCCTGGTATAAAAAGCAAAAACATTTAAGAAAAGAAAGCTATCCACTCAGCTCTCCCTCTGGTTTTTTGAGACGGGGTTTCTCTGTGGCTTTGGAGGCTGTCCTGGAACTAGCTCTTGTAGACCAGGCTGTTCTCTAACTCATAGAGATCCACCCGCCTCTGCCTCCCGAGTGCTGGGATTAAAGGCGTGCACCACCAACGCCCGGCAGGAGTTCCTCTTGTCTGTAGGAAATGAGATATGAGAGCACTGGCTGTACCACTGGGTAGATTAGTAAAAAGCTTCTGGTCCATTGACCGCAACTGGGAAATAGCCCTGAGGAACCCTGGGAAGTTGGAGAAAGTAACAAAGTGTGCACCATCCAACTGCAGAACCAAGCCTTGGGTGTCTGATTTCCCTGCCTTGTCTCTACCTCAGGGCTGTTTTTCTCTGTGTAAGTTCAGGAGTCCCAGTGAACACTTGTGCAGAGCACCAGGCTGACAGTGAGGACAGATGCTGGAAACCACTTTGTCCAGGAAGGAGATGTGGATGGATCCATCAGGTTTGCATACTTACAGTTATGGGAGCCAGTTTAAAGTTCACAATGTGGATTGTAAGTGTGAAAATTGCGTCTTAATAAAGCAATGAAAATTTAAAACAGAAAGAGAGAGATGGGTGTGGTGGTTCAAGTCTATCATGCCAGTACCAGAGGCTGAGGCAGGAGGATGATAAGTGTGAAGTCATCTGGACTACATAATGAGAACCCACCTAAAGCAAAAACAAACTGACAAAAGCAGCAGCAACAACAACAACAACTCCAATCAAGGACAGCGTGTGTGTGTGTGTGTGTGTGTGTGCGCACGCTCACGTGCTGTGTGTTGTGCATTGTGTGCTGTGAGTTGTGTGTGTGCGCTTTGTTCATGTGCATGTCAGTGTGTGTGTGCTGTGTGTGTGCTGTGTATGTGTGTGTGTTGTGTTGTGTGTGGGGGGGGTGATTGACGGCTGTTGACTCAGAGGTGGAGAGCTCACTTAACGTGCAAGGAACTGGGATCCATTGCCAGCACCACAAAAAGAAGGGAAGTGGGAAGGAAAAGAATCAAAGGACAATGCGCAGCTTCTGTTGATAGCAAATGCTGGGAGCAGGCCCGGTGCTTCTTGGGCTCAGCCCTGCCCTAGCATCACCAACGCTTGTTTGGACTCTAAGCCTAGCTGCGGTCCTTATCGAGCCCTAACCTCCTCCCAGCCATGTCTCTAGTCCTAGCTCCATCCCACAGGTCCCTCACCCCAGCGCAAACCCAGGCCCCGCTCCCATCCCGACTTTGGCCAGCTCCAGCTTCTCCCCGTGGCTCTCTCTCTGCCCCTGCTCACCTGTTGCGACCCTGCAGCCGCTGCAGCTCGTGACTCTGCATCAGCACCTGTCTCTCCAGCTTGTTGGTGGACAGTGAGTTCTCCAGCATTTGGAGCTTCATGCGTGATGTCTGGTTTAGGACCTGTCCCAACAAACAGGGGGTTTGTGGGGGCCTGCCACTCTTGAAGATCACCAACCCACTGCAGAGTCCTAAGCTGTTAGTTTCCATAGCGACTAGCTTACTGCTATTCGCAGGTCCTATCTGACTATTCTGGTTTCTGATTTGCCCTTCTTCGGTACTGCTATTGCACACCAGTGCCAATCTTCTAGCTGTTTGGGCTCCAGAGACACATCCTTGACCCCACGTGCAATCAATCCATCAGCCCCATCTTCCAAATGACCCCTAACCACTTCCTTTCCTTCCAAGGCCATATCGGATCTTGGCCTCTCCTAGCCCTTGAGCAGTCAACCTGACAGCCCAGAGTTATGATAGGAGTCCCAGTTAGGAGACTGCTTCTGTCAGATTGGGCTGTGTGTCATTTTCTCGATTGTTGATTGATGCTATTCCTGGGCAGGTGGTCCTGAGTTGTATAAGAAAGCAAACTGGGCAAGCCCTGGAGAGCAAGCCAGCATACAGCCTTCCTCCATGGTTCCTGCCTCTGAAGTATAAGTTAAATAAACCCTTTCTCCCTAGATTGTTTTTAGTCCTGGCCTTTATCATAGCAACAGAAAGCCAGCCAGCTCACTGTCTGCTGTCTCTCATTTAGTGTCCTGCACAGGCTTCACAGGGCTCACTGCTGTGGCCTTATCCCCCTCATCCTTTCCTTCAAATCAGTCCCAGGTAGCCTTTCATGCCGTGGCCCCTTTGCTCAGAATCCTTCTGTGGAAAGTTCATCCTCACTGGGCCTGTGACTCAGTTTCCTTCTACTACCTCCCCGCTCCATCTCCCAGGACACTGCTCTCCGCCATGTTCCTGGAGTAGCCAGCAGGCTCTGCCTCTGAGCATTTATGCACGCTGTTCTCCCTGTCTGGTGTGTTCTTCCTAGCAACTCGGCCCATGTCCTAACAGTACTGCATCCCAGTGCCCTTCTGACCTTGCTGTTTGGACTCATAGCCTCCCCATGCACCCAGCACACCCCTCTTTCTCTCTGCTCTGTGTTGGTTCCCTGGCACGACCACTGAGTAACATACAGGAGCCGTGTATCCCGCTTTCCTTCTTGGTGGGTTCCAGGACAACAGATGTTTGACTGTTTTGCTTACTCTCTAACCTAGAAGCAGGGTCTCGCATGGTGTCTGGTACACAGGAGGGCTTTAGCAAACAGTTGCTGCTGCTTTCTCCCCCGTCCCTGGCTCCCCTCTTGGCCTGCTGACGTCACAAGGTCTTTTATCATCCAGTTTTCCCAGTATGCCGTCATCCCTGAGGCAGGAGCTTTGCCAATGTTGCCTTCCCCAGTGCCCAGGACAGCCTTGCTACTGAGCTTTCACAGAGGAGTCAGGGCCAGGGAGATGGCTGGTTATGTGAGTGTGTCACCAGGGAGAGGAGGCCAAGGATCTTCAGGCCCAGAGAAGACCCCTGACCTCACTGGGAAAGTGGCAGAGACAGGAAGCCTGAGGAACAGCCTGGCCTTCTGGTGGCTGTCCTGTTACCTGTGCCTCCATGGCAGTCAGCTTGTGGGTCTGAGCCGTGGTCTGGTTCATGAGGTTGGCACCCAGTGACAGCATGGTGGTGGTCTGGTTCTGAACTGTGTGCTGCCGGGCCTGCGCCAGGTTTGACCTCAGGTTCCTCCGGATGGACTGCTCCAGCTGTAGGGAGACAGAGGGCTGCAGTGACAGGGCAGGGACTGGGAAAAGCCTCCTGTCACTCTCTTCCGCAAAGCTCCATGGCAGGAGCACAGAGAGCAGCAAGGGGTAGACACCTGGTTGAGACTGTGCCATATCAGGCCACTGCTCCTCTCTCCTGTTTCCCTCTGTCTTAATTCTTGTTGCAGACAGTCTGTCCCCCACTGGGCGGCCAGAAGGGTCCTATAGAAACCAGGTGAGCCACACCCCTCCTTTGTCTACATTACCCCAGGGCTCCCATGTTACAGGAAAAGCTAAAAGTCTTGGTTTGCATTTCCTTAGTAGCCATCCCACCCTCCTTCCATCCTTCCTTCCATCCCTCACTCTACTCCAGAGGCCAGGCCTCCAGTCACCCCTCCTATCAGCCATGTGCCCACCTTAGCGCCTTTGCACATGCTAAGCCCCCCAACTCTCTCTGGAACCCTCTCTGCTCACATGGCTCACTCCTTCATGTCATTTCATTGACATCAGTCACCACCCCTTAGTTTTATGACAAGCATTTCTTTTCATCTTTCTCACCCTCCAGAATGCCAATCACAGGAAGCCAGGGATACAATCTTACTCAATATTTCATCTCCACATCTAACACACCACCAGGTATACAGTGGGTACTCAATAATTGTGTCCAAGGAAATGATAGGAAAGGGGATCAAGGATCAGAGTATAGGCCGTATGCTCTGCCTTTTCCCCAGCTTCCTGGGGGAGAGCCAGCCTGTGGCGGGGTGGGGTGGGGGTGGGGCAGGCTCACATCTTTCCCTTGTACAGGTTTCCAGGTACATTTGCCAAACTGAACTTTCTTTTAGCACTGCTGTCTGCCAAATAGGGCAGAATTCATGGCGCCCAAAGGCCCTGGACCCCTTGAGCTGGCTTCTTTTCTTTGGCAGGGCTATGATTCCTTCTGGGAGGCCACGGCATGGCTCTACTGAGAATCTGAGATCAAGTTGGAGAAGTGAACAGTGAGTCCTCAGGCTGAGCCACTACTTCACGGCTCCTGGCTGCACACACTGCCCTGTCCCTCTGTCTCTCAGGCCAGAACTCAGGCTTCCTTAGGATCCATCGGAAGATCAGGGCTCTCGGGGACGGGTGTGCATTTTGACTGGGCATCCGGCTCACTCAGACTGATTCTTCCTTCATTACCCCCTCCTCTGTCCACCCATCTCTTCCTGCCATGAGCACTTGGGAGGTGTATGCTCCTGTGCCCATCCCAGTGGTGCACAGGGAGCGCTCTGGAAATGCCTAGAGTGTGGCCCATGGATCAGCCTCACCCTGGAGAAGTTAGGAACATGGGTTTCCAGACCTGGCCCAACACTGCTGAATGTGGAGCCAGCGGGAAGGCAGCTGTGTGTTCTTCAATAAGAAGACGGGCGGAGCACCCTGGAGCTTCTCCTAGCCTCTGCCCTCCCATCCGTCTTCCTCTGCAGCATCACTGGTCCTAACCCTGTCTTGCAGCACAGGGAGGATATGTACTCACAGATCCATCTAAAAACCCAGCTCCTTCAGCTGCCTCCCAATTTCTCTGTCTCAGTGTTGGTCTTTACCTTCCGTCTTGTTTGAGACAGGGTATCTTGTTCACCCCCGCTGATTAACTGGCCTGAGAGCTTCTGGGGGAATTCTCCTGTCTCAGTCTCCAATTTTGCAGGAGGGTTGGCATTACAGACATGTGCTACCTGCATCTTGCTTTCCATGGGTTCTGGGGATCCAAACTCAGGTCCTCATGCTTGTGTGGCCAGGGCTCTATCTGTTGGGTTGTATGACTAGTCCTGTCTGTGATCCTTTACTTCATCTTGTCACGATCTCTTTGACCCCTTATTCATACTGGAACTGTCACCAGTATAGCTTCTGGACACACATACACCCAAAATACACCCTCCTTTTACAACCCTGGCACTGCTGAATCCTCCCTCTCCTGGTCCAGTCTTGGTCTCTGCCTTCTTATCCCTTCTTTCCCTAAGCCAGGTTCTCAGTAGGGGACCAGACAGTCTGTGAAGAGATTTCAGCAGTCTGTGACATTGAGTGAGTACAAGGTGACATTGGACATGGATTTGTGATTGAAATTTGCTGTTTCCATCAACTTTAGCTCAGGTCACAAAGAAGAACTGGCCCAATAGGCTTGTGACTCCATGACAAAGAGAAATTCTGAAAGCTTACACCCTTAGCCTGATATCTACAGAATCTTCTTCCCCCCTCACTCAGTGTGACAATGGAATTATAGGAGTTATCAACTCACCACTGGATGAGGCAACAGCTTCACTGTCAATTTGGTCTTTAATATTTGGATTATAGCTACAGAATTAGTAGATGTTCTTCCAAGGGACTTGACTTTAGTTTTTCTTTTGTGTGCATTTGTGTGGCCTTTTGAGACAGGGTCTTGCTCTATATCCCAGCACTTGGGAGATTTGCCTTGAGCTAACAGCAATCCTCCTGCTTCAGCCTCCTGAGTGCTGGGGTCATGGGCATGTACCACCGTACCTAGTTGATTGTATATGTTTCTAGAAAAATTCACAGGCTTTCTCTGGGACCAGAAACTGAAGGGCTCAGTGCTCCAAACACTCTGGGGTGCTGCCCATGTGCTTAGGCCACTCCTGGGACTTACATGGCTCATGACTTTTTGTTTCCTATGAAGAATTATTCCTAGATACCTCTCCATATCTACACAGGTTTCCAACAAGCATCTCTAAGACTGAGTGTGGTGAAGGACACCTGTAATTCCAGCACTTGGAGACAGAAAATAGGATGAGTAATTTAAGGCTCTCTTCATTCTAGAGAATTCAAGGCCAGCCTGGGCTACCTTGAGACCCTGTCTCAAAAACAAATGAGTAGAGAGAGAAATAAATGAACAACCAAACCACTAGCTTTTCCAGCAGCCAGCACAGGCCTCTGAGTCCTGCCTATCCATGTCTCTGGGGCTCCAGGCTCTCATTTTGTTCATCTCCGTGAATGGCCCCACCCAATCCTGAAGCCCCAAACCCAGATCTGACTTCTTTTCTGTTCATCCTGCACATCCTACCATTAAGTCTGTCTGCTGAGATCCCAGTAAGGACTTCCAGTCTGTTCGCCTCCTCCCTTAGCTCCCCAGGGACACTACTGAGTGGCTGGCTGGGGCCCATGAGTGGCTGGCTGGGGCCCATGAGTACCTGGCTGGGACCCACCAGTGGCTAGGGTGCACAGAGCTCCATCAGGTCTGCCTTTAGACTCTTCCACTTAGCTTGAACTTTCTGGAACCTGGGTCAGATGCAAACTCCAGAGCCCTGAACTTCTACTTAGACAGTCAGCAGTAAGTTCACTTCTGAGTAGAGAATTTTCTAGGTATCTCTCCACACTTCAGAGCCAAAGTTGCTTCTCCTACCCATGGTAGATTCCACATATAGGGAACTCCAGGCTCCATGAGGCTTCCCTCATGTCTATAAAGCCGGGTTGAGGACTCAGGATGACTTAGTGCTCTCTTGCTTGATTAGTGCTCAATAAAGCAGATTCACTAATTGCCCCCAGTGGGCCTATGACTGTAAGTAGCTGGGCGGGGCATAAGCCATCCACAGCTGGATCCTGTTAACCAATCTACTAGCCCACCCACTGGCCTGGGCCCTCGGCAGATAATCCCAGCCAGATGGCCTGGTTCAGCCAGGCTGGGGTTCTGGATACCAGCACCAGTCTAGACAGGCAGTTGGGACTGGCCCCAGGCTGAGGCACCAGCCAATGGTGTGGAAAGGAATCCTCTTGAGAACCTGACCCAGGCAGGGCTCTGCTGTTATCCAGGCATCCCTCCACGTTAGGATCAGGCCATCAGCACCTTTCCTAGCGCCACCTTGGAGCAGCAAATTCTCAAACCCGAGCGGTCGGCATCCCCTATCCCCAGCTTGCACTACGGCATCCCCTATCCCCAGCTTGTACTACGGCATCCCCTATCCCCAGCTTGCACTACTCCTTCTACTCCTTCACCTTCAGGTTCCAGATCGGCTGCATTCCAGTTTGTGAGCCCTGGAAGCGTTTGCATGCCCCTGGACCCCATTTTCCAAGAATGCTATGGGGGCAGTAAGTACAATTCTCTTTGGGGAAGAGGGCATGTGAGGAGAGGAGAGGGGGAGAGGAGAAGAGAGGAGAGGAAGTGTCTCAACAGGCAGAGACTAAGGCAGAAAGGAAGGGTCCTTCATGCAGACTCGGGTGTGTGGCTTTGGCGGCTGAGCAGCAGATTCAAGTGAGCCTGTTTTATTGCTGTGTTATCTATATAAATGGATCTTAATTGGCAAAGAGCTGAATAGCTGAACTCCAGTCACCCTGTGAGCTCCACTCCACCAAGAGAAGGAACAAATGAGTCCTTAGTGTGCCCAGCCACAGTGAAAACCAGACTCAGTGTCTGCAAATGTCAATTCCACCAATGGGACACTTTAGCAGGTCATAATCTACATTCACTAGGCCTTGAGTAGGAGTGCATGACTGCAACAGCAATATACCCCATGCCTCTTTCTGGAGGAAACATGCATGAGACTCGGGGCTCAGAAAATCAACTGTTTACTGTTAGCAGAGAGTGGGGTCATGCCTTGGATCAGTGATGGCCACCCTCAGACTGAGTGGCCTCGGACAAGTGTCTTCACCTACCTGAGACACTTCATTGAAATAGTGTTAATCACAGCTGCTACCTTCAGGTTTTCTGGAAGCACTGTTAAGATGACTGCTAAACAGCTCAGTGTGGTTATGTAAGCAGCAGGTGGCAACCCCAGTACGTGTGTGCTACAGGTTACCTCATGGCGATGCTGGCTGAGGCACGGCTGAGCCTCGTCACTGCTGTTTTATAGAGGTGTTCCTGATGCATGGGAGTGAGCATAGCCATGATCAAAGCACCGTCAACGGTGTGGACTCACTCGTGCCATGGTGGAGATCCACTCTGTCATAGCATGGCCTTACTCTTGTGGACGGAAGATGCGGGTGGTACATTCTGTGGTGCACAGATGGAGGACAAGGATGGCAAG